AGGCTGGAGAAGAGCAGACTCCTCTCTTTGGACACACAGCCCTTCTCAGGCCTTTCTTGGAGGTGGGCAGCTGCTCCCAGGACCCTGTCATGCCTCAGTGAGCCGAGCTGCTGCAGGAGGCTCAGGAAGGAAGGAAGTTGGAGGGAAGGGCAGGGATCCTCACCTCCGCCAGGAAGTGCAGTTCTACTCATGAGGCTCCTTGCCTCAGGAAGCCGCCTGTCCCATATCTAAAAATAGGTGCCAGGGCAAGGACCCAGCTCCTGGGCCCCACGGGCTGGCTGGGAAATCAGAGGGGTTAGGGAGTGGGCTGGGGTACCCCCAGCTGGGCCCCTTCCAGGGTCAGACTTCCCTGTTCGCATTTCCAGGCTAACGTCTACACCTGCTCTGCATGGCTCTCAGGGGAGGGTATGTGGACCTAGACAGCCCCAGCAACCTGCTGGAGCTGGACACAGTGGACACTGAAGGGTGGTCAGGACCTCTGGAGCTGTGTGTTTCAGAGAAAGAAGCCTGAGTGGGCCTGGCACCTACTAGGGAGGGAGATAGAGGCAGAGACCGAGGGTGGGTGGAAGGGTTCCAGACACACCCTACTACTCCTCACGTGGTCACTTGGGAACCTGTCTCCTTATCATATCAACGAGTCTGCTTACAGCTCATGACAGCCCAGCACAGTGGAGTATGACTTCGGGTGAGCCGTTATCATCTCAGGGACACAGAGGGGAAACTGTTCCCAACAGTCAAGGCTGAGCCATTCTACTGGGGTGGGGAGCAGGGCCTCTGGCCAAGTGGTGGCAGCTGTGTGCAAGGGTGAGCTCCCGGGAGCCCTGAGCAGGCTGTGGATGGCAGCCTGTGCCTCCCACACATGGCTCCTTGCAAGCCTGGGATTCCAGTCTACAGTTCAGGTCTCTAAGCCCCAGGAATGGGAGCCACAGAAGGGCAGGTGACCTGGAGTCCTCATTCCTGCACCGTGCCTTCGTGGGCACCTCAAAACCCCATCAGGAGCTGTTAGCTGCAGTGCAGAGCCACCAAAGACCCACACAGAGAAGACACAGGTGACCCAGGCTGACAGAGCGATGTAAGTGGTAAGAGGCCCTTTGGGTATGACCCCTAGGCGTGGGGGGGATGCCCCATCAAAACTAAGGGCCCACCTGGAGGACCCCCAAGAGGTCTCAAGTGACTCAGATGCTGCCCTGCAGCCCACCAGGTGGAGCTCCTTAGGCTGGACACAGAAGTGCAAAGTATATGTGTGGAGGGGTCATGGGACATGGGAAGCTACTAGGCATGCCAGGTCACAGTACATTCTACTTGACAAGTGAAGGCCACTGAGACCAAGTTTGGGTGAGCCTAGTTGTCACAAAGGAGTCCCAGGAATAAGGTGGGCACTTCCAGGGCTATAGGATCACCCAGCATTTCCCCACACATCTAGCCTGGGTTCCAGTGTCAGGCCAGAGCAACGGGCACCTGGGCTTCCTCCCCACCCCCAAACCTGAGCCCTCTCCCAAGTCCCAGGTGGATAAAAGGGTAACGGCCAGCATTCGCACAGGCACCTGAAGCTCTACGCCTATTGATTTTGCCATAGAAGCACCTCCCCTTGGCAGGATTTCAGGTGTTGAAATCAGGGCTGGGGGAGGGCTGAGCTGACCAGCTCAGAAGCAGTAAGGAGATGAGGATTAGCAGTGAATGATTTCTAGAGGCTGAACTGAGCTGGGGTGTGTGTGTGTGTGGCAGGGGGGTAAGCGTATAGGCCCCTGGGAAAGAACGGGATGGAACTCTCACTGGCAGGAAAGTGTGGGCACCCCAGCAGAAGTGACAGGGTTATCAGGGTTCCAGACCCCTACCTCCTTGCTCTAGCTCTGTGCCCCTCACTGCTCAGCCACCCTCACTGAGGTCACCCAGCCCAGGGGCAAACCACAGACTTCCTCTTCCTGGCTCATGGTTGTCTCTCCAAAGCCAGGCAGACAGCCTGGAGATACCAGAGGAAGTCCACTCGCCCACCCGGTGGTGAAATCAGGTACAAGTAGTCCCTACCCTGCTGGCGCCTGACTGCAGCCCCTCTCCCAGAAGGCAGCAGACTCTCGAGGTGACAGACAGTCATGTGCTGTCTGGAGGGGAGAATTAAACGCCAGCTAGGAAGCTGCTACTCAGGCTCTGGCACTGGAAGGTGGCCACCAGCTGCATTAGGCTGGAGGAGCTGCCAGTCCTGGGCAAACAATCTAGGGACTGGACTGAACTAGATTCCTGACAAGGACTGGTGGACAACCCTCCCGGGCTCCCTGGCCAGCCCCAAGGGGACCACTGTTATGCCCACTTTCCAGGTGAGGAAAGTGAGACTCTCAGAGGCCAGTCACCTGCCCGTATGTCACAGCTGGCATGCGGTGAGCAGGGATGAGAGCCCCTTGCTCTTCTGCCCTCCTCCCAGCAACAGGAGTCCCAGATATTGTCCCTTCTACTAGGAGCCCACAGACCCACCCCAAGAGATGGGTGTCCACTCTTCATGATGAGGATGTCACACAACCTTCCTCACTCAGCCTTCTGCTGCTCGACCTGTCCCTTGACCCACACAGCCAGGAAGCCCAGGACCCCAGTGACCTCAAAGCAGGTTTTGGGCAAGGTGGGGAGAGTGCCCAACGCTGCCCCCAGGACTCGAGGTCTCAGCAAGACAGAAAAAGGGGGTGTGTATGCATGTTAGCGTATGTGTGAACACAGTGTTGTGGGACCAGGCTCCTCCTTAGAGAAGTGTGCCAGATGTCCGGGATGCCCCTCCCACTGAGAGCCATTTTCCTCTCGAGGATGGAACTTCTCAAAAGTGTCTTTCCAGACATTCACTGTCACCCTGTTCTCACCCCCAGCTTCCGAGCATCCTCAACAGGCCCCACAGGGCTTCTCCAGCCTTGGGTGCCCAGGCCCCCTCCAGCACTTCATACACCCTGGCTTGATCTCCTCGGCAGAGCTCCCTGTTGGACATTGTGCCCGGCATCCATTTCCTGAGGCTTCCCTGTGCCAAGCCCCTTTCTCCACACTTAGACGCATTAGCTAATCTGCCCACAACCCCTGGGGGACAGAGACCCTGAGGACCCCCACTTTAGCAGGAGGCATCTGAGGACCAGAGCAGTGGGGTGGGGCTCCACAAAGGTCTAGCTCCATGGCACCATGGTGTTCTCAGCTATAGGCCAAGGCATGAGGCAATGGGGGGCTCATCTGCCAGAGTGGTGCCCACTAGCCCCACCTGGCTCTAACCTACAACCCTGGCCACTGCAGGGCCAGTGTAGGTGGGTGAGTCCATAAGACTACAGGGATCCAGTTCTCACTGCTCTGTTCTGGGTGGGCCCCTGGGAGAGGCGGGGAGAGGCCACGGAAACAGTTTCTTCAAGCCTCAATAAAGAGTACCCCCAGGGATGTGTAGAATCTCCACCCCAGCTGCCTAGGAAACAGACTCACCCAGATGGGGCTCCCAGCTGGGGCAGGTGGGTGGGCCTCACAGGCTGATGCACAGCCCAGAGGGCAAAAGAACAAGGCCCCTCCCGACTACCTTCAGCTCCCTGCAGGCTCCTCATGCCACCTCAGAGGGACCCCTGGGTGTGCATTTATCTCCTACTTTCCTGGGCTGGAGTAGGCAAGCTCATCCCAGACACAGCTGCTCCCTATGCCTACTGTGATCCCCCAACTGGAGAAGGTGGGATGTGTCACTGCTCGCTCTACTTTCAGCTGTGTTCAGTCTAGTCTCTGCCTTCCCCCTCCACCCAAACATCTCACTGCCCCTGGATCCACACTGGGATCCTCAGCTGTCCAGATGGAAGACAGATGTCCCCACTCACTCCGTTTTAAATGTTTACCCTCCCTGCATCAACTTGAGAGACACACAGATTTCCTAGACTTGGCCTTACTCCTGGGGAGGGGGGCGTGGGGGGGTTTTCAGCCTAGGGAGCATAGCAATGGGTGTGGCAGCACTGTCCAAAGGACTGGACAGTAACACCACTCACAGTCCCTGCAGGATGGTGAAGAGTCCACTCCTCTCCAATTCCAACAGCCACAGGAAATGGAAACAAAAGGGGACAGCATCACTGGTCACTTCCTATCAGTGAAGACCGGTGGGCGGAAAGTACCTCTTAGCCCAAAGACGCTGGGAGACCCCCCCACACACCCAAGTCTGCACCCCAAGATGACAAATGGGTGGGCACCACTTTGTAAAGCGGAGAGCTCAGCCCAGACCTTGGGCATCCTCAGGAAATCGGGCCTCTGGTGCCTAGAGACCCCTAGGTATTTAGGGTCACCTTCTGCCTGTGCCAACTCAGAACCGTGAGCTCCTACTCCCCTCAAAACCTCCACAGGCCTCTGGGGGACAGGGATCTCCTTGGGTGAAGAGAGGGAGCTCGGCCCCCAGGAACTGGGGGCATGGTGCACACCAGCAGGCAGGCCATTCTGTAGTGCGCTCCGCCTACAGTCAGACCCCCCAGGACGGTCCCCAGCCACCTGGAGGATGAGCGGGGTTGGGGTTAAGAGTGGGGTGGGACGTCCCCAAGGCTCGGACGGTGTGAGCCCCCCCTTTCCAGGGGCGGTGGCGCCGATGAGCTCATGGGGGCGGGACGCCAGGAAACCCGCCCTCGAGCCCCCTCCGTGCTGGCGAGGCAGGGTGGTCCACACCAACAGCGGCCAGGAGGGCCGCGTGGGCCTTTCCACGGTTGAGGGGTCCGGGATGCGTAGCTCTGGCCAGTACGCTCCAAACCCGCCAGCAGGACGCAGCGGGGACAGACAGCGGCCCCCAGGCGCCCCCGCGGGGCCGCAACGCGCAGAGGCCCGAAACCTGGCTTGCTGCCCGAACCCCACGATCGAGGGGGCACGGCAGCCCGGGACCCCTCGCCCCGCCCCCGGAGCCCACAGGTGGCCCCGCAACTTCGCGGCAGCGCTGCGTCCCCTCCGCGGGGCCTAGCGCGCGGCCGCCAGCCCGGCCTGAGATGGGGGCGCCCCGCCCCCCGCCGCGGCTCCCACCCCTCCCGGCCGCTCACCCAGAAGACGAAATTGAAGACGAAGAGCAGGTACTTGATGCACTTGGTGCAGCCCTCCACCCCCATGGTGGCGCGGGCGGCGGGCAGCCTGCGGAGTGGGGGCCGGTCCTGGGCGGTCTGGGGCGCGGGGCCGAGCGAGCCGGGGGTCCTGGCGGGCGGCCGGGAGGCTTGGCGGGCCGGGACACAGGGGCGCGGCTAGCGGGACGCGGGCGGCGGAAGGGCGCAAGGCCTGGCGGCTGGCGTAAGGGTCGCTGCCACTGCTGCTGCGCGCTCGCTCTATAGCCGGGCGCGCGCCCCACTCCGCGGTACTTATGGGCAGCCGCGGTCCCGCCCCCCCAGCAGGCCCCGCCCCAAAGCCGCCCTTTGCTCCGCCTCCCGGCCACGCCTCCGGCCTCGGGCGCCCAGGCTGGGGGTGCGCGGATGCTACCATCTACCCCAGCAGCCCAGTGCACGCGCGCATTGGGGTTCGTGACCTTGATGGGACCAAGACCTCACAGTCCCGGGGCACCGGACTGACGCGAGATGCGTCCCAGAGCTACGGTAGGGCTTCGAGTCCCAGGGGTGGCTGCATGGCTGCGTCTGAGGACTCACTGTAGCACCTGCCTAGAAGCACAGCCATGGATGACCTAAGAAGCCTTCCCTCCCTGCCCGCCTTCCCCGGCGCCTTAAACATTCCCAGAAGGCTCCCAGGAGGAGGTGATGCACGCTTTCCTTATATTGCTTTTGTGGGCAGGAACTTGGGTGAGCTGGAGGTCTAGAACAGGATTATCTAAGCCGCCAACCCCTTGTCCCATGGACAGAGGGAGTCACTGGCCGCAGTTTGAGAGTTTGCCTTTGGAAAGGTCTCTCGGTAGCCATAGAGTATCCCCGGACCAGCGTTAAGTGTCTAGGAGGCTTGAGTACGTGCGGGACACCTCTGATCATTGTGCTTACCATACTCCTCCTGGTTGTGCTGGTCGCAGTTCCAGCCCCACCCACTCTTTGGCTGGCTTCCGGAAGGTCTGGGGGCCTCCTGCCCTTGCCAATGAGGATGCAGGAACTGATTCATAGAATGAGGTGTGCTTTCTCTCCAGGTGACAAGTGAATGCTGTCTGTCACCATAGGGGACTCACCAATGAAAGTTCCCTACATCCTTTCCCTCCAAAAAGCTAAAGGAGAACGATGGGGTGCTTCATCAACCCCACCCCCCAATCCACTGCTCAGTCAAACATCACCCTTCACAGCACTATTTGATAGAACTCTGCAGTACGGGGCAGATTCTGTATCCAGGTAACACCTGGCCCTAGTGACTACTGGGCACCAGAAATGTGTGTTGTAACTTACATATTTTTAACTGTGTGTTGTAACTTATGTGTAAATAGCTCCAGGTGTCCTGTAGCTACTGTTTTGGACAGAGCAGCTCTTTCTTGAATCATCTGTACTCTGCTAGATTTGCAGTCTTCTTGGTGCTTAATTTGTACATCTATTTTGGCTTCCAGTTTGAAGTTTATACCTACTTTTATGTTTGGGGTATGTGAACTAACACTGCAGTAAAAGTAAGCTAGGTCTTCACTTGGGATCTGTGAGGATTCTTTTGTTGTTGTTGTTTAGAGGAGGCAGAATGGGCCTTCAGTATGGGGACATGATTCTCTGGATGTTTGCCATCAGCTCCTCCTTGTTCCCCCATGGTGGGGACACTTTCGGCCAAAAATGTGGGCTGCACGCTGTGTCCTTGGACCACCAGTCTCCAAGGCAGGTCACGCCAGGCCAGTTTGTGCTGTCCTTTCCTTGGTCATGTATCAGATATTTTGTGGCACCTGCTGTGTCCCAGGCACCATTCCAGGTGCTGACTGTGGGCAGCCTGGCAGCCAGGACCCCTCCTCTTGTGGACCTTACGCTCTGGTGGGATGACAAGTATCCTCCCACAATGATCATATCAGGGCTGAGGAGGGAGGGAATTTGTAGGATGCTTTACAGAGTATGAGTGGGGGGTCTTGGAGGAGCCAGGATAGATTCGGGCCTTGTTGCCTGAGGAGTGGCTGGCAGAACTAGCAGGAGCAGAAAGGATGTCCTCAGGACTGGAGCAGAGGGAGTCAGAGGAAAAGGGAGAAACAGTTCGGAGCAGGCATTTGTCCAGAAGGCCAGAGTGGGGCAGCTGCATTGCATTCTGACTACAGTGGGTGATGGAAGTGTTTCACAAGCCTGGCTTCGGGTTGGAATGAGGCCACAGGCTGCCTCAGCCCCGTAGGGGACATGATGTTCACAGATACCCAGAGGCTTGGGAGGAAAGGCTGTGAGGGTTTATGGGGCCACCTTGAAGGGCCTGCACCTGTAAACTCCATGTCTGAAGTGTCCTGCCCATCAGCCTGACCTTACAAGGACCTCGGGGAACCCAGGGCTGGCTTAATGTGATGTGTGTCAGTGTGGTTCCAGCCTCTAGAAAGGGTTCCTCTGGTTGGCCAGGCCTGAGAGCTTCTGTCCTGACTACAGGCCACTGTGTACAAACTCAGGTGGGCTGTGATAGAGGTGAGGAAGGAAGGGGAGGCAGCTGCCTGTGGCCTGGGACAGATGTCCCCTTCTGCCCTTCCCCTGAAGGGCTGACTGCCCTGGTGTGGCAGGGTGGGGAAGGGCAGTCCTCTGAAGGTCCCAGCGTGTCTCAGAGTCCTCCCCTCTGCCAGACTGCTCATGCAGAACAAGAAAGTGGCCACTGTCACTTGTGTTTGGCAGAAGCTTAAAAGGCAGGTGAGGAGTGGGACAGTTGTAAATAAAGAGAGGGGGTGGGGGGAGAGGCTTAGCATCCAAAAACAAACAAAATAACAATGGGGGGGATTTAAAAAACATGTGAGTATCTCAAAGAGTCATGCACAGCAGCTGGACGAACCCCACACGTCTCCCAATAGAACCACTCAAGCAGAAGGAAAAGATGCCCCCACACACCGTGAAGGACACCTATGAAGATCCCACAGTCGATGTCATGCTCAATGGTAAAAGACTAAAAGCTTCCCCTGAAGGTGAGGAACAACGCCAGATGAACAGGCACAACACTTCTCTCAGGATTGTGCTGGAGGTCCTGCCAGGGCAATCAGACAAGGAGAAGATGTAAAAGGCGCTCACCCTGGACAAGAAGGGCAAGAAGCTGGGCTCTGAATGTCTGTGTCTGCCCCCATTCGCAGATGCAGAGATTGTCTCCATGGAGATGCTAATGCTAGTTAGAGGTGGGGCCTTTGAAGGGTGATTAGGGCAGAACCCTCAAGAATTGAGCTAGGGCCCTTACAAAAGAGGCCCACGAGACCAAGAAAGCAGCTCGCACTAGACGCCAAGTCAACTTTGGATTTCTCCGTCTCTGAAATTGTGACAAATAAATGTGTTTTTTATGAGCTGCCTACTCAGAGGTATCCTGTTGCAGCATTCTAAACAAACCAAGACATAAAACCACCTCTGTTTGATGGTTACATGATATTGTATACAGAAAATCCTAAGAAATCCACTAAACACCTAACAAGATGAGTAAGTCTGTTTAGCAATGTGGCAGGATCGATGTACAGGAAACATTTTATTTCTATGTACATACTAGCAATGAACAATTCAAAGTGAAATTAAGAAAACAATCTCATTTATAATAGCAGGAAAAAAATAAAGACCAAAATATTGCCAGGCGTGATGGCTCACACCTATAATTCCAGCTACTTGGGAGGCAGAGATCGAGAGGATTGAGGTTCCAAGTCCAGCCTGTGCAAAAAGTTAGCAAAACCCCACTTCAACCAACAGCTGGGAACCGTGGCACATGCCTGTCATCCCAGCTACAGCAGGAAGCCTAAAATAGGATTGTGGTCCAGGCCAACCTGGGCAAAAAAGTGAGATCCTATCTCCAAAATAACCCCAGAACAAAAAAGGGCTGGAGATGTGACTCTAGTGGTGGTAAAGTGCCTGCCTACCAAGCGAAAAGTCCTGAGTGCCACCAAAAATAAATAAATAAATATCCTAGCTGGCTTTTTATACTGACTGTAAAGTCAGATGGACACGCAAAGGACCCAGAGTAGCCAAAACAACCTTGAAAAAGAACCAAGTCGGAGGACTTACACTTCCTGATTCACACTCACCACCAAGCTGCAGTAGTGAGGGCAGGAGTTCTGGCAAAAGGACAGGCGTGCACCAAAGTGATGGAGTTGAGACTGGACATGGGCTCTCACCTTCACGGTCAACCGGTTTTCCACAAAAGAAATAAGGCAATTTAGTGAGCAGACTTTTTAGCACCACCCACACACCGCAGGAGGAAGTGGGACTTCCTACCTCACATTGCTCCCCCAAATGACCAGAATTAGGGTCAAATAAGATCATAAAGGTAAGAGCTAACACTATGAAATTCTTTAAAAAAATAGGGATAAATCTTGGTGACCTGTGTTAAACAGCAGTTTCTATGTATGACACCAAAAGCACAAGCAACAAAAGAAAAAAAAATACATAAACTGGACTTGGTCCAAATGAAAACCATGTGTGCCAAAGGACACTAGCAAGGGAGTAGAAGGACAAAAACAAAGTGGGAGAGAGTGTTTGTGAATTATATCTGATCCAGGGCTAGTTTCTAGAATATGTGAAGAATTGCTATAACTTACTGACAACAACAACAACAACAACAAAAAGACAAATCAACTTTAAAAATGGGCAAAGAGGAGGTGGAGATGGGAGGATTGCAGTTCAAAACCAGTCTGGGCAAAAAGTTAGAGAAACTCTATCTCAAAGAACAAGCTGGCGTGATGGTGTGTGACTTTGATGCCACCTACTCCAGAGGCTGATGTAGGAGGATTGCTGTTGGAGGCCAGCTGCAGGCAAAATCATGAGATCCCATCTGAAAAGTAAATTAAGCTAACAGGGCTAGGGGCATAGCTCAAGTAGTAGAGTGCCTGCCCAGGAAGTGAATGCCGAGTTCAAAGCCCAGTACCACCCAGAGGGGGACGGGAAGAACTTGAATAAGACATTGCTCCAAAGATGCGCAGATCCCCACCACGCTTCTGAAAGGATGGGCCCTTGGGGAAGTGCAAATGCAGCCACACCTCCCACTGGGATGGCCACGGTGACAAGGACAGACAGTGGCAAGTGTCTGAGGGGATATGGAGAAGCTGGATCTCTCATTTGTGGCTGGTGGGAGTGGGAAATGGTGTAGCCGCTTTGGAAAACAGCCGGCCTTCCTCACAGTGCTAAAGGCTGAGTTACTGTGCGCGCGTGTGTGTGTGTGTGTGTGTGTGTGTGTGTGTGCACTTTTGTGCATGAGCCGGGATTCCAGTCCTGGTCGGCA